GTTGTGTTCCTCTGCGGCCAGATTAAACCTTGTTGTAGCCTATATATTATGCTCTATTCATTATTTTTTTTAGAAACCTCGCAACTTTCTACTCCATTTTAAACTGTGTTCTTGTATTCAAATTAAGCGCGGTCCACTGCTGCACACGTGCCACAATATCGATGCTGAGACAGCTGTATCGATACTCGTATCGTCAAATCTCTGTGACGATACATCGTCTTATCGATGTATCGAACACGGCACTAGTAAAAAGTGATCCATGCGCATTTGTAGAACTTGGCTCAAGCGTTTCTATATGTACACTACTGTTAAATTTTTTAAAAATGAATTCTTTTATACAGCAAGGATGCATTACATTTGTCTTTGCTGTCACTTTTGATCATTTATAATGTTACAAAATATTTTTATTTCAAATAGATGCTGTTCTTTTGAACTTTCTATTTTAACAATGACCACAAAAATATTACACAGAAAAATTGTTTAACATTAATCATAAGAAATGTTACTTGAGCAACAAACCAGAATATTAGTGCTTTCTATACATTCAGCTTTGCCATCACGGGAATAAATTACATATCAAAAGTTTTCAATTGTAATAATTTTTCATAGTATTACTGCTTTACAGTATTTTGGATCAAATACTGCCTTGGTGAGCATAAGAGACTTCTTACAAAGACGTAAATCTTTTGAACGGTAGTGTAGCCATTTTGTCATTTTGAAAATAAAGTGACATGATGGATGAAGGATGGATATTAAGATCTGTATGCATGTTTTTAGGTGCCTCATCATTGAAGAAGGATCAGCCACTGTTCACGCTGAGGCAGGTTGGCTATTTGTGCGAGCGCCTTATCAAAGATCATGAGGAAAAGATGCGCGAAGAGTACGAACAGATACTGAACACAAAGCTTGCAGGTACAACATTGCGGATTCCACACAGTTGTGTATTAGCTTTGAGTTCATGCCATTCTCAGAAGCAAGAAAAAATAAGTGAATTTTTATTTATTCATTCATTCTCAGGTTTTCTGGTTTTATATCAGTTTATGACTGAATTGTGTTCTTAATGTGCTGTTTTTCTTCCTTTTTACCTGAAGAACAATATGAGTCCTTTGTGAAATTCACACAGGATCAGATTATGCGAAGATATGGTGCCAGGCCTGCAAGCTGTAAGTATATTAAGTTCCTCTTTTAGCAATCCATTAACATTTTGTTTCAGTATAACAACTCTGTTTCACTGATTTCAGTTGTAACTTGTTTGTCCAAATTCTGATTATTGTCTTCTCTTTATTTTCAGATGTGTCTTGAAGAACATTATAGATGGTACTAGCCACCCCTCAGCAGCTGGTTGCTGTAGAACCAGTCCCCTTCGTTTCACTTGAAATTTCCTCATACTTTTGATTCTCTTTTTCTTTTTTTTTTCCTTTAAAATGCTTGGGTGCCATGGTCTATCCACATTTAACTCTTTTTTTTTTTTGCTGAACTGTTACGTATGGCCCAACACCAAACCTGCATATTTAGATGCATTCTAAGGAAGTTTAGTCTCTTTAAGAATTTGTGGGGAAAGATGTCAAACTACCGCTGTAAAAAGCTTGGCTGATGCGATCATCTCTGTATAATATAATGTGACTGACCTGCAGCAGATATACCAGACTCTTCCTCTATCCTTCAGTCTCTCTCTTTTTTTTTTTTTTTTTTAAC